CAGTCCGTTACGATATAGTCTGTTCATGTTGTCCACGGACTTCAAATCGTAGCGTGAGAGTACACCTAGGTCCTTCACGGAGATTGTGGGAAATAGCGGCTGGCCGTCAAGGGTGTAGGTTCGACCGTTAGCACCCTTCCCCTGGCTCATACATACAGGCTTGGCTGGGTTGATCGGGGAAGAACTTCTGCAGACCTTGTGGATAGGCGGTTGAGGTCTTGCTGAAGTAGGCCACAGTCATCGGGAGCGTCGATTTCTCTCCAAATCTTTATGTCGTCCGCAAACAAGGCACACGGCGACCGGAGAAGCTGCGGTAGATCGTTGATGTGGATCAGGAACAGAGTGGGCCTCAGCACAGTGTCGTGAGGCACGCGACTTGTAGAGGCTGACCATTTCAGCTTCCCACCACTAGAACTGGATTGCCAGCTAGCGAAACAAAAACGTCTGCGTCAAACCCATGCACCAGCTTCACGCTTAGAGCTAGATAGCAAATGACAGTTTATCGGCTTGATCACCGAGGCAGCGGCCACGCGAGATTGGTTGCAGGTAAACCGCGAGTGCTTGTACTGCATCACAGTTCCATGTTGCAGTTGTAGCAAATTGAACTGCAGCTATCCTATACAGGTACTGTCGGTCGTGCCACATGGGACATTTTGGTGTTCTACATACTTGCCATTATATACTCCTTTTTGTCTCGCTGCTGTGCTCTGATAAATCGTGGAGTTACCTCCCCCACTGGTGCTACATCTCATGTGGGGACACTGTATGGGTCGAAAACGGCCACTGAGCATTGAACACATTGGAAGACTGGTGACCTTTGGCCACAAGTGCTTCCATAGCATTGCTCACATTTGGTCTGACCATCGAGTGGCTGATACATATATCTACTAGTTAATGTTCTATAGCACATCCTCTAGTGCAGCACTGAACCAGCTATTGCACTTGAGTCGTCTGCACTGGTTGACGCATGCTCTCTCTAAGCCCGTCTGTAACTTGCATCTGCATACCTTGTTCTCGGACGCCGTATCCCATTGGACGAGTCCTCAGAACCTTTGCTCGATGAGTTCGCATGTTAAACATGTAGAACTCAACTGAATGTCGCAGCTAGGCTAGCTTAAGCCATTTTTACGAGTGAAAGCTTCGTTTTGAGTCACCTTCTATTAGGCGAGGAACTTATCCCACATGGGACAGTCGCAGAGTGGGTGGTGCGTGTACCACCACGTTTCACCAGTGATACTTTTCTCCTTCTCACCTACCTTGCAGCATGTTTGCACTCGTGAGTTCGCTTTTTTTTCTACCTTCTGTCTTCTCGTTCTGTTATTGTCATGAGTCCATTGCGCTTTTAGGTACTTGGGTCAACAATAATCAAGTGCACAGCGCCCCACTGAGTTGGCTGACGAGTACGCCCACGTTTTGGTATAAGGTTTACTCCTCTAAATTGCATATTGTTACAAGACGGAATCGACTCAGCACCACTCCAATTTGCTGATCGTTTTACTTATCTGTGTAGTTGTATCACCTAGTGTAGTCATATCACCGAAAAGGTTACTACAGACATTGTTAAAGTTCATGCAGCTTTTCAAGGCGGTGGCCGCCTGTGATGACGGTGGGGTGTAACCATATTAATTAAGCGAAGGCTTTACAATGCTCTACTGTGGTCCTTATAGCTGGATCAGCGATCATGCCTCTGTATTAAAGGGACGCTAGGAAACTGATTATTTTCTAATTTGCTGCTGGTAAATTGCTTCTGCTATCCGATCTGAGAGCCGGATGAGCGATACATATGTTCACAATGGGATGTTTGGCGACGGACTTTCAGATGTCTCATTGGAATTACTTTCATTGGCCCGATCGTGTCATGAGCCTCTCTTTTCTCTTTTTTGTCCTTACCCATGTGCTGTGCATTCTTCCAATTCAACTGTTGACTGCATTATGTGTGCTCCCCATGCCAGCGAGACCGTTGCGTCCACGTGTATTGCTCACCAATAATGCGCCTAATTGGACGAGACTGAGGTGTCTGACTAGTGACTGAGCCAGGTTTGTATCTCTCGTCTCACTGGATGAGATCCTTGAGATGGGCTACTTCAGTGGTTGGACACCTTGTCGCAGATGGCGCGCACAGAAAGTCAGCGACGCTATTGCGTTCGTTCCCCCATCTCAGACTTGGCTATTCCATCTGACAATTAAGTTCTTGCCCCCTCCTGTTATGTTATTGTTATTATTATCACTATTGCTATTTTGACGACGTGTGTCAAGGCAATTGGATACATGGCAACAAGGTGCCGTAGACCAAACTGAACAGCCGTATTTCTGATGCAAGAGACTAGATATGTATTTTACTTTCTTGAAAGAATCACACCGTTCTTTGGGAGTATTCACTAACCACACTGCGCCTACATATGTCCGTCAGCAGCCTGGCCGGTTTTACAAGCAAACACTTGTGCAATGAGTAAGCGCTGTACATCTTGCGGCTGTTCCTGTTTTCGTTCACTGTTACCAATCACCCGGCCTATATGCATCGGCACATCAAATTCTTTCTTCCATCCACCGTATCTTTTCCGAGAAATTCACACTTACAGCGTGACTGCGAATCGGAAGCTATGACACGAGCTGTGTACTTCGAATCGAGGCTGATTTCTTCCCCCGGAAACACTTTATTCATTGGTCTGTGGTTGTACACTCCTTGCAATGGTACAAGTGGAAGTTCATTACATCTAAACTCAGTCCCATAGTCATCATACACCCGGAAAAAGCACTGCACGCTCGTTTCATCCTTTCGGGAATCGTCAGCAGTGGGCATTCCATGTAACCCTTGCATGACTCGAACCTGCAACTCGACTGTTGCCAGTCTGTGGTTGTGACCACTGAGCTACGGAAGGCTGTAACGATCGTCGTGACTAAGTTACTGGATATCATATGGTGCCGCTCACCATCCACTGACATGCACGTTACTGCCATGCAGAGGACAGAGTAGCTCCCTTACCAAGCCCAGAACCTACCAACTTTACGTTGGCATTTAACTTATGGCATTGTAAACAGTTTAATTTGCGTACTGCTTACAAGGGGTGGTAGGAGGATTTGTATGGTATAGGTGAAAGTTCATCTAGGATGAAACAGCCGCGCAGTGCTTTCCGAGCGTGTGATTGCTGTCTGATCCTATACTCATTCAGTGAAATGTGCTTTATCACTTCTGGCTGTCATATCACTAAGGGCCCCATGCACTCTACGTTACTACAGTTGTCGCTTGATAAACTTGTGATGGACCGTCCACCGTTTTGGACGCCAGGCAAGATGTTCAGTAAGCACCCAACCCACCCTGATTATGTATATTAACGGGACGATGTCTAAGTGAAGCTTCCATCCCAGAAGGGCACTAATATGGAGTTTCTCATTTACGACGTCGGATACTGCCCTAGTTGTGATGTGGACCACAGTTTACTTCAAAGCACATCGATGTCTCGATGGCAATGCATTTGCACAGCCTTACCTTCTGTGCCCCTTACCAGGGGCACAAGCATCGTTCTCAGTGCCCACTAACCTTATGGTCCAAATTTTCATTCACCAGCGGTTCGACCACCGTTTCCTATCTCACTCGGACTGCCCGCGCTCAAAATCCCATAGATATGAGCAGTTGCCAAGTGCAGCAGTGGAGCTGATGAACATCTAATGTTTAAAATATTTCGGAAAACTGGTAGCTCCGGTTGATACTTCAGTTGCTCATTTGTTCGCCGAGCTGGGAAATTTGTTTGTAAACGTTTCAGCGCCATGCATAGCGGCATCATCAGTGCGTCGAGATGTGGAATGTTATCTCGCTGATTGAATTGTCGATCCGTGATCGGTGTGCAGATGACTTTTCGAAGTGACGGTTTCGATCTGTGTCCCGTGATCTGAACAACCCGAGCGACGACTTCCGCCACGGGGAAATGTGTAGAGATCACGGGACACAGATCGAAACCGTCACTTTCGAAAAGTCACCTGCACGCCGATCACGGATCGACAATTCAATCAGCGAGGTTACGCTCCACATCTCAACGCACTGATGATGCTGCCTCGCATGGCGGTGAAACGTTTGCAAACAAATTTCCCAGCTCGGCGACCAAATGAGCAACTGAACATCCTCAAGTTTCACCAGACATTTGTATATAACTGGGTCGACTTCAATGCAAGAGTGGCCTCCGCATTGTGGCCACACCCTCTTCTCCTTGCTAACCGACTCGCTGGCTACGCAACTACAAACGGCTTGACCTACCGTCGACAGCGGTCAACACTTGGTTTTTGCTATCGTTCTCACTTCTGAACACTACACAAGCACCCCCTCTTTTTGCTATCATTCTTACAATCAGTTTTTTTCCTGTCCCTCATGGGTGTTTTGATACACGTCTGACTTTCCATTACTCACTTATTCCCCGCCGCCCCTAACAGTCAAATGACGTGTGGTTTCTAAATTCAAAACTTGTTTTCCACTCGATTGTTCGTCTGACACTTTCGCCTCGTTGTTTCTTGACGAACAACAACTCTCGCAGGCCCATTGATTTCGCTGCAGCGTCCACACGGAAGGAGTAAAGCCCGATTACATTGATCAACCTTGTCTAGTCATTATGTCCCCCTTCTCTTTAGCTTGATGCACGCATACCCAACACATAGTTGCGTGGACGAGTACTTATCGGATAGCGAATAATCTCACCGAATATCTATTGTGTATTTACTCTAGGCTATTATCTATGTCAAGGGATCAAATTCCATACAGCTGCTAGTTCGGTTAACCTGCCCCGACTCCCTCAACAGAATTCATTGTTATGAGAGTTTTTCCGTCGGTTGAATTGGCATGGTTAACTGAAAATGCAGTCAACCATTCTTGACATGCGGTGACTTGCGGACTCCGATGACGATACAGCTGATTGTCACACTATAACTGACTCTCGAACTGTGCTAACTTTTCGGCCGTTCTCTATGACCACCTTGACAACTCTCACCACCTCTCCCATTCTTTTCGTATGCAGGCTCTACAGAAAACGCTTCTTCATCTGTCTACCGAGTATCAATCCCTTTACGAGCATCTTGTGATTTTTGATGCAAACATTGTTTTAACCGCCAAAGTGAGTATGGCACCGATGCATCGATCGAACCATTTCCATTTTCTCCACCGGCTATCTTGCCTCATTATATCGCACGTTCCACAGTCTTCTATTCTTCTCCATCCATTCCTTTTCTGACTATCGCAATCGAATGTCACTTCTCCTATGCTGTAGAAGATTTTGCTCCCAGCCGTTATATCACTTTGGTTCACTGCCTATTTGAAACGATATTGTTTCATCTTGCACTGCATCGGAAGAGTTGTATTGTTCTGTTTAATGTATATCTTTCTCAACTGCGCCAGTTGCTGCTTTGCCTGCTCGACTACAGCGGTACCAGTAGACTAACTACATGTGATTCCGAATGTCCAGCTGTGGGAACTTTACGTGGTTATGTATCCGTCTACGCTAACCATACGCACACACTTGCTAATTTAAATGCTAGAGACTAGCAGGGCAATTTTGAGTATATGACTTGGTATAAATGAATGAAGGCCCTTACTTCGAAGTTCGCCTCGGTTGGAGCCTCTGGGCTCCCTGGTTGGGGACCGAAGGACGATGAACATGTTTGGCTGGATACACTTGTTGACATGGCTAGGAGCCGACCTCAATGGCGTTTGCGTTGTGAGTTTCTTTGTCCCTCCCCCTCTAACCACACTCTCAATTGTTAGTGATAATATGACTACTTTGTGACACAATAGCCGCCTATTAGCTCTCCGGAACGATGCCCATCCGTCACTGGTAACTCAGCCGGCGTGCCTCTGCTTCATGTTTTTTTTAATTCTGGCATAATAGCTGAGGTGTTTTCCACCTGCAACTAACGTCTACAATGATGATGGTGCATTTTGAGCATTTTTGGGGCTCCTTCACACCCACATTCATTCAGACAGTAACCACACCTTCACCGGCCTTTTCGTACATTTGGGACCGTCTGGTGTCACAAATTCCCCCAACTCTTCTGGAAGTTAAACCCACGATCCGTTTGCGCAGAGAAACCAACGGTTTATATCATTTGAACATTGGCGATCGTTAATGGGGAGGCGCGAACTGGGTGTGTGACGTGAGCGAGAACCTTCGTCAATTTAATGATCCTGCTAACTCGATAACTCATGACCATAGTTTCGCGCCAACAACATTGTCTATCTTTTCTGGTTGATTTTACGACATTCGGGCACTCCAGACACGTGTATGTGAACTTCATCGTCTTGGCTCCACCGTGTCCGGTGTATGATTGCTTCATGAACCCGCGTTAGCTCTTCAACAGGAGGACGACACGTTCCGCAAGCAGAACACTGCCTTCGCCATGTGTGCTCACTAGCGCTGAACAAACTCGGCTACTTGCATCGGAGACGACTCTAGAGGATTTGTGTGCCGTATGTGGAAAGGAATGTTACGCGTCACATGCATTCACGGCGTAAGATCACACATAACCTGTCTGAGAATGCGCGGTTTCTCCACCCTCATGTATGGTATTTGGAGCGGAACGCTCCAATTCCTCTGTGGGCATTCTCCTCTCTTCTTGCCACTCACTGAACGTGGTGGGTCACGAGCGATCGCATTTGCTGTTTGTCCAAATTTGCCTTCACATGGACGTGCGGTGGTGTCTGCTTTGCCAACTACCTACCACCTTCCACCTAACTCAATTCGATAGCACATGCTTCGCACACACTCTGTCTAGACACGTTTGGCTATAATCTTATATGTCTAATCTGCCCCACGTTTTCCTGAGACGTCTAGTTCTGCTGCGATCTACTTAACCGACTTTATTTATTTTTGATAGCCTCTTATCTATTGTCTCTTGTGCCTAACTTTTGGACTAGCTTCGCGATGCCCTCTAATGGCCTGCCGGTAACATGACAACTACCGCTCAACCGAGTGTATATTCATGTCATCTGGTCGTACGTCTTGTACTCGACTCGGAAGTTGGCCTTTTATGTATTACATAACTGCCTATTGTCCCCATGTAAATGTTATTCGAATGACAGAGTCCAGCAGCGCATTGGAGGGAGGTTTTTACTTTTTGTAGACATCCTGGGTCATGCTATAGTGGGAGTAGACTTGACAGCCCCATTACGCAAATGCTAATAGTTTCTTCTCCGTTGCCTCACATTTTATTTGAGATTGAATCTCCGTTCGATGCAACTGATTGCCTTTGATTTCTTCAACCCACTGCTCGTGGCTGTTATTCTGCGGCTATTCTGGGGACCATCGCCTACTCTGACCTTGCCACCAAATGAGCCCACGGTGCACAGATCCTAAGCTCCAGCTTATTTGAACATATCATCTAGCTACTGCTTACGGATGTGCTTAGTAGAATTAATTCAGGTCTAGGAATAGACTCATTATATTTTACACAGGTTTAGATGCAACTTCCTTTTGTGCAACTTGGATGCTTTGACGAGGATTACTTTTTCTCTTCTGCCATTTATCCCATTTAACGAGTCGAGTACTCGATGCACAGAGGTTCTAAACCTCTAACGTCGATGAAGTTCACCTTTACACCGCCACAATTACTGATCTCAGGCGGCATGTTTCATTGTGTTTATGATACCGGCGGTATTTTATTCCACAAGGTAGCAATGTGAAGAATTGGGTGATATAAGCTGACATATACACCACTACACTCCGTCAGGTAGATAGCGGATTTGGACGATCATTTTGCCTTTTTCTGGACTCAACCTATTGACGATAAAAAGACGAGCGCTACAAGATGGCACCTTTTGTGTTATCCGATCACTTTGCAAACTAAAAATATATATAGATCACGTGAGAGAAGCAAACTATCGTACTGAATTGGGTCAGGAAAGAAAGTACACCGACGCGGAAACAACTGATGGTTGAGCTGAGGTCAAAGGCCTTGAACCCCAAGGAAACTTTAGGGCTACTGTCAGTTGCTTCTGTACACAAAAGGTGTGACGGCGCTAATTAAGTCTCACGGCCTCGACAAACTTCGTCACCCCGTAAACGCTGAGTCAGAGACGCTGCTTCCCCGCATGAGACTCCAGCCTATCACTTAGGAACGGGCGACAACAAAGGTCAGCATTTCTAGGTTACTAGTTGTTATGTAACGCGGCCCACTCTTCATTGGTCTACACATAACTACCGTGTACAGGACCAGATAGAAATACTTGAGCAACGTTTTCCGAGCTTGAGCTGCCAGTCAACTCATGCCATCTCGAAGTGAGATCAGAGTAGAGGAGACGAGTACCAAAAGCTCGAAACGGTCGTTCAGGTGTGTGCCAGCTGTCTAACGGAATCTACTTTAAATGAAGGGATGTGTTTTGTCATCCTTGTTCTCCAGCTACTGACACCTTATTGAGCCTAACGCATCTCGGCTCACGCTTGTCCTACCACATACGCTCCAGCTCTTCACTGTTAACCCAATAACTTCACTCCATGGTGTATGGGAGGTAAGACTGGTGCTCCCTTGTCACACATACCACTACTAATCACTATCTTGCTGCTTTTCGCTTTGCTCAACTGACGGTCATCGCTCTCTGCTCATCCCGCTGTGCTCTTTCCGCCAATCCAGCATCAATGTTATCTTTTATGTTCCCGCTCTTTTACCAGGTTGCATCGATCCTGTGGGCTTTGGAAGAGGATGTGGCAGAGATGGTTTTTAAGGAATTCACTCGCTTTTCCCTCATCACCCGCTTCTGGTCACAGAACACCTGTTGCTACGGCTACGTTATGCACGCGTTACAATTGGATCTCCTTAGGCTTTTCATCCCGCCGACAAGGCAGGCAGTAAGTTTCCCCATTATCGTCATATCCGTCTTGCTTTGCAGTTTGCGGACATCGTCCTTATGTTCTAGCTCGCAACAGCCCGTAGCCTAAAAGTAACATTCTTATCTTGTGATCTGACGGCTCGGGTTCGAGCCTGCGTAGGGGCAGGGCGACCATCGCAGTACTCCTAGCCCACGTGCGAACGGTGGTGTTTGCGCGGCAGCGCAGCGTCGTTACTATGCACCGACATACTGCTGATGCTTTTTGCCTTCTCTAGCTGGCCTACCATATGGTGCTTATTTACGTTCGGAGTAACTGACTGGTGATGGAGTGTTTCAAGCCTCTGGTTTGCAATCCACACATCACCGGCTCGAACCTGCATAGATGCGGGCGACCTTGCAGCATCCCCGCCCGCATGCCGTCGCTGGTGATAATCGCATGGCAGCGAGTCATCCGCACAAAGTCTCAGTATATAAGTCTGATGCCGTATATCTTCCGTTTGAATTTTTGAGTGCTCGGAGTGGGTTTCAATTACGACATACATTCACAATTCGGGACACACTTGACCTCGATCCATGCGTTCACTTGAGCCGCGTTCGAATTAAGGGGCATTGTGCTCGTTGCTCGCCCCAGACACTGCACTGCACGATAGGTTCCCTGTTTTTTTCACTATTCAACCATTGATATCTGGTTGGTATTTTGATCTTGGGGTTACTGAGGTTCACGAGCAGCTTATGACACAACGTTTAGGGGCTTGCTGTTCGATTTCCAGCGCTCACCTTTGGTTTTGATTGCATGGCACAATCACGATTAGAATCGCGGTTTACTTTGAAGCGAATCACAGTCATTCTGATCGCTTGACTGTCACACGAAGTGGGGGATACCTTTGGTATTTCTCGCTCTCTATGATCCGCGACGGCTAAGTACTGCTTTCTTCCCTCCCCCTCCACGCTCTCCAAATGATGACACCACAATGAAGCTGTCTGATTGGGTTTCGTAAACAGTGCTATATCGCACTTACTTTTATTTCCACCCACCACTTCCCATTCAGTGGCTTGAAAATTCGTGGCCTCTACTTCTCTCGTTTTGTTAAATTTTTCTGCTTCTTTTCACTTCTTAGTACAATGTTATAGCACGATCAACTTTAGTATGATAACCAGACTGCAACTGCCTGTTGGTCACGTTAGTCCCCACCCCTCTAATGGATGACACGCTTCTACCAGTCAAACCTCTTGCTTGCATAATACGGGCCCTGTGTGACGGCAGCAGACACCCATGCGTGCAGCTATGCTTCAGTACAATTCATTATGGGACCATATCTTACTTTGACAGCTTCACTGCTGTCTTATGATTGTAGTTTACCGCACTCGCGATCTTCCGATTTGGTTTCCCGGATTCTATGCTTGTAACTCTTAAATGCGGTTCCACTTTTCTCAGTTAATCCCGCATTTGGCGCTGCCCTCCACTACCCAGCAGCTAGGACTATGCACGTAGGTTAGAGCTTGTGTTTATCGCACTTCCCTTGGGTCCTGACACAATATCCTTTGTGTTTTGTTTTAGCCATTTCTGCGCTTCTCTCATATGACCATGTACTCGCCAGCCCTAAGGATCGTTGGTCTGACTTGTAATCCGAGCACCTGTCCATGGGACTGGGCGGCCGTCGCCGTATCCTTAGCCCACGTGCAACTAGTTCTGGTTGCGCGTCAGCAAAACGTCGGTACTACGTACCGGCACACTGCTGATGCCTCTTTTCTTGCCTCATGTGCCTGCGTTTCACGTACACTCTATCGTTGTCTGCGCGATCATCTTGGTCCGAATGTTTTTGCAAAATATTATTGCTCCGGGCAAGGAGATACCTGCTAGCTCCTGTTACATTCATCTGAAATAGCTCTCCAAATAGCTCATTACTCGCAGTCCATCATCTTATTTGCTTATCCGCAGTTCTTAAGTGCCATTCCATATCTGTAGTTGCAGCTATTTCTTCCAACGTCATGAGATTGGTTTCAGTCAGAACTGTGGTTCAGATTTCTTTCTGACGTTATTCTTTCGTACATTCACTCTCCACAGGCGTTCCATGCTCGGTTTGTGGAAAACTATGAGCACTTATGCAATGGGCAATGGAGTCGCCTTATACCCACCACAGACCACGTGTACTTTTGGCATCAGGCCACCATGCATTTGTATCATTCGGGCCGGTTGGACAAATTGGCTGACCTCATGACAAATTTGGACTTCTTGCGTTGTCGTCTGGCCCTACTTGGGACAAGTCCGATCATCGCCGAGTTCTATCGCTACCGAGCTGTGTTTGCCACTTTGGATCGCATGAGTGATTGGTGAGTTGCAATCGCTATGCGTTCGACCCAGTGGCGACACAGCTTTAAGTAGTCCGTTATCTTCCCAACAGGTACTCTGGATTGTACTCAGGTTATTTCGTCTGTTAGCCTTATCACTTACAGGTCTCCATCGATTTGTGGGGTTATTGCTCTTCTGCTTTTGACCATCCGGTAAGAACATAGCCCATATGCGCTTAATTTTGCCACCATTTACCTTCTGTATTGTCATTCTGTCTACTAGCTCCGCGCTCTCTCCCGTACTTTAATCAGTTGTCGCTGGACTCGCAATCGCACAAGCCATTCGTCAACATTTTGCTCTCCGTATGGTATCACCTCTTCATGTTTTCTACTGGTTTCAAGGAACTCCTTCTATGTCACCCGCAGTTCTTTTTACTCTGCAATACCATCAGTAGTCTAGTCGCAGTTCTTGTACAGTATTCCAACGGTTTACCTAGTAACCCCTCTGCAGTCTAATCTACGCCGCAATCCCCAATCGGAGTTAGAACGGAACCCTTAGGCAACCCCAGCTACTCGAGCGATTATGTGAAATTTGAACGGATCACTCAGTCCAACATCGATTGCCAACCCGCGTCCATTTGCTGCAGGCATTCACATCAAAGTGACGTAAGCCCACATGCCGCTGGTGTGTCTATTTCGAGATGATTCCTTTTGACTATTCCGTGTTTGAGCTACCGCATGGCTTTTAGACCAACAAGGCAGACTAAGTAGCTCATCATTATCTCTACCGTTATTGTCATCACGACCGCCACCGCCAACCGTATCAGCAGCAGTAGCGCATCGACAGTTCCGTACTGGCGCCAAGTGGCTTTTCCCATCCTCAAACGTAGGGTTATTGAGACAGTACTTAGTAGTATCCGCGTGTCCTGGCACATGTCATTTCTTAGTACTTTCACTGTACACACAACATATTCAGAGTAGATTTAGGACCATTGAACTTGGTCATTTTATTTCCGAACGCTAAGAATATCAATGAGGCACATGCCACAGTCTCTCTATTCGCAGTCTTTCTCTGGCGACTGTTTTGCGTAGACAGATTCGGATTCCCATACCACGTTTACTTAAACTGTAATACGACTGTTCAGTCCAACCCGTTCTACTTTGAAGGCAGCTGAGACTGAACTGTTTCGCATGAGGTCTTGACATTATCTTCTTTTGGGAATCTTTCACCCCTTCGCTGCTGGCTTTCGTTTCTCCTTCTAGTACCCCTTATGTCTGGCACACATCTTACTTGTTCATATCCGTTTTCTTCGAGGGTCAAAGGTCATCTGACTCGCTTGGTTCGCCAAGTTATGTTTGAACTCCGTGTCTGATCTGCGTGATACAATCGCCGCGAACTATTTTACTCACCTGACTTGATTGTTTAACGGCACTCGGTCGGGTCGTGAATCGATAACTTACCAGATCTCACACTGTCTGAAGGCAGTCGTTTCTGTTCATCTTGTTATAACGTGACGACTCAAAGAACCCCCAATCTAAACCTCTGAAAAATTCACTCATTACGTATTGAGACGGTTGCGTTTACTTGGTCGTCCAGGCAACCAGTCAATCCAGGACGCTTAGTGTATGCTGTGTAATCCGGACGCATTTATGGCACTCGGTCACTTGCGGTCCGAGGATTAAGCTGATCATGTGACCATTCTGTCATGACCCGTATGCTTTTGACAATACATGAGCATACCGTGAAGTCGACTAACAACGAGCCCGTAGTCTAGTGTCGTTCGCTGCACTTTTACGGTCGACAACCGCGAACGGTTTCGTGCCTCGAAGGCCACCTTTGATCTATCCGTTTCGAGGCACGAAAGTCCACGATTGTCGTTTGTCTCCGTATGTGCGACCCTGTTTTTGTTATCGGAGGACCGCGAATTGGATGACGACTCAAGGTTAACTGATGCAATACTCGACTATTTACATAGCTTCAGTATACTTCTTACTGTGGAATCGTGTCTGTCGCCTATCCGTTTTTCTGATTAAGACAGTCAACCATTTCCTCTTGCTTGCTCCCCTCTCAGGCACGCGTATCTGCGGTTCATCCAAACAAACGCTTATTTTATCATCGACCCGGTCACCATCCAACCAACAATGCGCGGTCGTTCTCCGTACCGGAGAAATTCTAGCTCCAAGTCGTGCCTAAATTTGGGTTCGTTGAGTCCACCAAAATTACGTGCAGATTCTGGACTCCCGACGCCTACTGGCAGACCTACTCTGGTGGCACTTTCTAGGATCCCTACTGCTGCCGCCGCCACAGCTGCTCAGGGTCCAAAGGGCTTGCATTTGATCCAACTGGGCTTGGGGCTGCCCCAACACAGTCCTGTCTTCCAACAGGCAGTCCAGTGGATTTTACGTCAGCCTCAGTTGGCCCTTCATCGGGATAGCGCGTAAGATAAGACGCTTCGCAAAGGTACTTTGACTGAATCGCCGCGGATTTCTGAATACTACTGGTTCTGGTGGTAAGTTTCTTTTGCATTACTCTGGTTGCATCTGTTTGGTATCAATTTGCCGGTACAAAACCCTATATAGAACGAAGAATCGTAAACTTATGGAATACACTACCAGAAGGACTAATAGAGGCCGATTCTGTGAAGGGCTTCAAACCGCGTATCGACGATTACGTCGAAACCTCTGTGTTTGTGAAACGGCGCACATATAAATCAAAAATTACATTCTTTACCCGGAAATAATGGCACCAATACGAATTCCTATTCGAACAAGGATAAACGATTAACGGATCAAACACTGCCGCTGACAATCCGCAATCAAACGTTTTTGATTTTTCTTAATTCGATAGAATTGTACAGAAACTTTTATACTTGCTCTTAAATACAGTCTCAGTCTCTGTAACACGGTTGAGGTTACCAGCAGTGTCGAAGTACTTTCCCATTAAAGAGTATTAGCGGATTGATTTGATCTGTTTCAAAGGGGTTTTCTGACAATAATAGCGTCTGGATTCCAACGGAGTACGAAATCCTTCGTGTGATGCAATATGCTCTATCAACTAGCTTTTCATACGATCAAAGAAAGGTGGTATCGCTTTGAATGGAGTTCACTGGGTAGATGACACTCACCGGTTTCCTATACCAACAGAGGAATATTGTTTAAAACTTCTTCTCACTTCTAGCCTTTAACTCAATATTCTAACCCACAATACGGGCGGGAACAATCTAAATTCGGAATTGGGACTTGATACTGGAATCTGCTTTAGCCTGACGGTGAGTAGATCTGATAGAACCATAACATTTCATCCATGTTTTTTCTACGATCACACATACCACATTCTCATGCTGAGGTTAAAGTTGTATACCTTGTGCTACTCCACCGCATCTGGGCTGCACTGACTTGCACTTAAACTATATCCAAAGTATTTCACTTTATTTAGTTTGCTCATTTCTATTATCCTGCTGTATATTCCGTGTTCATTTTGCATGTTTGCTTTCCCAAAATTCTATGTTGGCTGTTTGATATCCTCGGTATGGCTGCGCGTGTTGCGACTGTCGACAAGGTGCCTGTCTGTCGAATAACCGCTACCTCGATTATACTGTCTCTAGGACACAGTTGGTCGCTGCTTGGGAAGATGGAGCACACGGTCCTCGTGGCCATGCAATGCTTTTTCTCAGCCAGTTGAATCCATTGCACTTTCAAATCTCTCATTACCGAAATCAACTTTTAAGGTGGTCGTTAACGCTTTCAAGTTGCGGGCAAGAATGCCCACAAGTGCTACGGTCTATTGAGTGATCAAACCCAAACTAGACAGCACCCCACTCTGTGTACTCATCTGTTATATTATCTGCTCATTTGAGATTGGTCACTTAACAAACAGCACGTATTATTTCGGTGTGTTTGCGCCTATTGGATGCAACTTGAAAGTGTTAAGGACTATCTTTAGAGATCTATGAAGGAATCCGGTTTCCTTAAAAGTGAATTGGTAATCGCTATGGATTCAGCTGGCTGAGAAAACGTATAGACTCAAAAGTGGTTCCATCCTGTGCTAAGCGGACTACGGCCCAGACACCGCCTTGTGTACGTCTGGTACGCATGATATCTCATGTAGATAGACAACAATGCTGCTGCTGCTGTGCTTGTTGATGGAGTATGGGCCGGCTCCGTTGATGAAACATGGCTCCCATCCACATATCTCCCGGTCTTATTCCTTCGGGTTTACACTGGGTATGGGGTATGTGGTTGGAGCTGTGGGTGGTGCAGCACAGGCCACCTATGGTCCCTTTGTAGGCGCAGGCGTACTATGGCTATCTTATGGAGGCCGCAGTTTTAGGCAAATCGGAAACCGGATGACGTCAACCATATGCTACATGCGCGGCAGTGCGTTTTGGATAGTTTGTGCTTTTTTGCACGTGGGTTCCTTGCTTGAAGCTGGCTGTATCGAATCCCTGAATAGAGGATATGCTATTCCATAGTCAGATGCACTCTGTTGCGATCAACGCCTAGGTAACTGAACTTTTCGTCCTTGAACAATTGTTCACCAATGACAAAGTTTGAGGATCAGAGATAAACTATTACTCCCGAATTTACCCCATGTAACTCCTGACAAAGGGCACTCAGCGTGACTTACGGGGACGCATCACTCATAGCATCGTAGTTAGCCCCAGTTTCATCTCGGCAAATGTTCTAGTTTGGTTGGTGTTTCCTCCCGCTGAAGACGTGCTTTCTGAGTACTGCTCAACTCATGTGGAAACACCATGTGAGCATACTGAGGTTCATCTATCCAGATGTTCGGAGGGATAGTTTCTGATACCGCACTGTGTGTCTGTCTACCCTGGCATGCACTGTATGCTATCGGTCCAGGTAGTTCGACGAAGCCGCCTGATGGCCAGCCGATGGAATTACGGAGGGGTGTGAGGAAATCATTCGAGCGAATTAGACTAGTATGTGTCGTCTTCGTAGCTAAGGTTCTCGGGGCGGCCCATATCAGTTGTTAGAGACCTAATCCAATATGATGCTCCTGCATTCGCACGCTTATGGTTGACCGCGATGTTTCTAACCCAATTTATTTTGTTTCTCAATTTCCCTACCAAATTCCTCCAATTTTGCTGTCTTTTCCCTCATTTTCCTTCACTATTGTACCTTAATTTTATTCGGCATGGCTTAGTCGACCAATTTAACCACGCAACGACACATTTGATAATGAAGAGAGACAAAATTTCCTTAAACACCTACATGTGGGGTAACCAAATGTTGACACTAGAATCTGTGGATATGCTTTGCATCATGGCGTTCGAATTTCGGCGTCAAACTATACCTCCGGCTTGTTGTCCAAGTTGCAGTTGCCCTAGGCAACAATGACCCGGGCCTGACCGCCAATACTGTCATGGCATGCAGCAGCCAAACCACCGCCCTTAGCAATTTGGCTGGACCTTACCGTGGTGATGATCCATTGAGCTATGCTGGGTAGTGTATTTTTGCACTTTCAGAGCCACTCATACCAGATTGCTCAATGGTCATAGGCCAGGCAAACTCAGCCTCCTGGTCCTCCAGGTTGGGGGTTGGAATGAGGATGGCTCCTTATTCCTTAAAACGGACTCCTTGTAGCCCAATGCCAAACCCGCGCTGCCTTGCGGACAGGTTTTTGAACCAAAGGCTTTGGTTGAGAACCCTAATCGTTCTCCTGTCTAGGTCTGGATTACTTGACAGTATGCTACCCACGTAAACCTACGAATCTTTTCTCAAACAATTTCCTGATGTTCTGGCCACCGCAGAGGATAATCAACTGTGCCCTATCAGCTGCATCGAGTAGAGTGGATAGGGGTTTAGATGCTACTGCTCAAGCCTTCTCGTCTTGTTCCTACTCTTACGTTTTTTCACCCTTATCGTCCCGTCCCAGCTTCACTTTTATCCCCCTGTTTTCAACCCCCGAATTCTTTGCCCTCCCTCACCCTGCTTCAATAGTCGCTTGTCTTCTAGTTTCAACTCACATGTGAACGCGGAGCGTCTTTGCTGTCCTGTTGACAAGCCCATGTCCATCCAAGCGGCCAAGCTCAGTTCATCGACTTCCATTTGGAGCCCTCGATCATCCTTTAGATTGGCATGCCTCATTGCACTCACATTACTACAGATCGCTCAACAGGCAGCACTTGCCTGAACATTAGAGACCCTCTCGATCTATATCTGCTGCTTATTAGAGACCTGCCTGCAAGACTCCAGCTCTGTGCTCACTCTGCGATCCCCTTCAGGTGACACCAGCAGCACTTTCTCATTGCGCCTATCCGGTGATGATGCAGCTTCGAGCACCGGCCAAGCCGGTGTTGGTATTGCCCTGAGTCCCCGGGCTGAAGCTGTTCTGGTTGATTGGATCCCAATCAGTAGCCGGATGTGTGGGGTCCGATTGGCTGGCTCATTCAAAGCTTCGAAATCGCGTGGGTCCAACTGGTGTCTATTCGTTATGGCTGTCTATACACCCAAAAACTAGCGATGATTCGGTAAAGGACGACTTCTATCGTCAATTGAACGAGCTCCTTCGCCACAGAAGAAGCTCGGACACTGTAGTGCTGGCTGGGAATCTGAACGCTCAAGTTAGAAAATTATCCACTGATGAACTGCATCTGGGCGGCCAACATGGTGTAGGCTCCCGTAATGATAATGGTGAGCGGTTGCTTCGTTTGTGCGAAGATACTCACTTATTTCTTACGAGCACTAATTTCCGACACAGCACTCGCCGGAGAGTGACTTGGCGCCCACCAGCCTCGAACCAACTATGGACGCAAATCGATCACATTGCGATAAGTTACCGATGGAGAGGCTGCGTCCAGAACTGTTGCTCGATTTGGAGCACAGATGTTGACACCGACCATGCACTTTGTGTGCTGACCTGCGGATGCGTTTTGGCGGACGCCCACGACGACGTTGTGACCGCATTGACACCAACCAACTGGCGAAGCCAGCTGTTCTGGATGCCTATCAAAGTACACTGTTATGCGAGTTGAATAAGCGCTCACTGGATGCAATTGTAGTTCACTGTTCTCATATTCACCTGACCTGGCGGCAGGAAGGTCCTCATGTGGTATGTCTAATCGCCAACATGGACATTGGGTCTCTTCACAGTCTCTGGAACTTATCGATGCTCGCCGGCATATCCCGCCTGGAAGCGAACACAATGAAACTCGCACAGAACTCCGGGCAAAACTCCGTGCTAGCCTGAAGAAAGACCGCGAATCCTGGCGGTCTCATCGTGCTTCAAAATGGCCGCTGCCCTTAAAAACCATCGTACGTCATTCTGGCTGATACGGGAAAGGGGCAGCAAGAGACCTGATGCTAGTGAAACTATACGTGACAAGTGTGGACAGCCTATCCACAACTTGTCAAAACGCTTGGAGCGATGGACTGAGCACTTTGAAAGGCAATTTAATTGGTCAGAATTATTAGATTTCCCGTCGGCCCCTGATCGCCCCGCTCCCTGGGCTGTCCTTTTGGATCCATCCTCTCGCTCAGAACTCGAACA